TTCGGCTGGCACCCTCGCTGGGTGTTTTTAAAAGCCAGCTAAAAACTGGGCAGGCCTTCCCTCCAGCCAATTAAGTCTTTCTTATTTTTCTCCCCTTTTATGTCATGACATCTCGGTAATCTTCAAATTATCTGTTCAATTGTAATTCTAATTTTATAATTTTATAATTTTATATATTACTGTATACAGTATTGTTCTGTTTTATCAATGTAAGCCGCCCCGAGTATACATGATCTAGAGGGGCGGGGTAAAAATCCAGTCAGTCAGTCAGTCAGTCAGTCAATCAATCAATCAATCAATCAATCAATCAATCAATCAATCAATCAATCAATCAATAAACAACAACAACAAAACAACAACCACAACACAATAGACGACGATGACGACGACGACGACGACGACGATGATGATGATGATGATGATGGCTGGCCAGGTTTCCTTCGCCAGGGCGGATTATCTCGCTTTCCAATCTAGATTGGAGAAGCAAAAATTGACCTCCGGCACCTGGACAGCCTCCCTGCACCTTGGAAATATCCTTTTTCATCCAACCTTGTAACCTCTCTGCAAAATAATAAATTGCTTTCCTGTCAGAACAATACAACAATGTAACCATGTATTTCCATAATTGCTATCTGTTGACCCACCCTGTTGTAAAATTCCATCCTTTCTATGATTCCCACTCAGATAAAATTTTGGATTCCTTTGTAACCCCATCCCTTCTGCCAATAGGTCACGAACCACCCATTTCTCCTCCCCTTCCCTTGTGTAACCAATGTTATAATAGTCCTGGTCTTCCTGTGCGTGGCACTGTTGTTCTTGCCTACACTTGGAGGCATGATTTCCATCACGCCTTTTATTTAGCTAAATAAAACAGCAATCATTTGAACTCTCTCTCGAGTCAAGATTTATTGGCGTTAAAGCTTTGACTCGCTATTCCAGTCGTCTAGGTCCTGGTTTCAACATATGGTGCCCAATATGAGGCTGTGAAAGGCTTGCTCTGTATGTTCCCAGGACAGCCCCACACAGCTGCTGGTCAGCATGTGGCCCCCATTTACCCAAACCTCCTCCTTAGGGAAGTAATTAACCACCTGAAAACCCCTGAGGACGTTGATTTCCCTCCCCTTTATATTTCCCCTGTGGTAAGACCCCCCCCCTGCCACAGAACCCTCCACCACCCCCCACTCTGGACCTCCAGTTGGGACCGGCAGTGAGTGTGCCCCTTCCTCCAGACCCCATCCCATCCTCATGAAGGTAACCAACCAGTTTTCCTGTCCCACTTAATCCTTATCCACCTCTCAGAGGGAACGGTATCCTTGCCTGGTTCAATCCGCACCTCTCCCCTCCCCACAACCTCTTATACCCTTTCTGGAAAGTCCTGACTCCCCTCTGGAAGTGATTTTCTGCACCGCACCGCAGGAATTCTTGATGGATCTATCTGTGGGAGGGGTGGTGAGAGAAATAGAGGAATCAGTGGTGTTTTTGCAAGTCCCTGTAAGGACAGGATGATTGAGTAAATGGTTATG